TGTCTTTTACAAAACCTTTCTGGGGGACACCCCTTCGTACCCTGGAGAGACCCCCTTGACCCCTAGCAGCAAGGGGGGGCCTCACCTTCCTACCCCACCTACCCCTCCCCGCAAATCACAATGCTCGTCGCCTTTGCGCCCTAGTAAGAGTCCTTCGGCAGGACTAGTAGAATCTTGAAAGACTAGTACATTTTTCTTTTACTAGTGCCAGCGTGGGACTAGTGGGAACTAAAATGAAGGAGTGTCTAACCCTGTATATACTCTTGATACTATAGTTTATACTATATATATATAGATATATTATTATATCTAGTTGATCATTCATGCGTTGTGTCAACACATTAATTATATAAACACTAATAACGCTAGGTATTATGTTATTTTTATAGTACATGTATATCGTATACAATCCTAATTCGAAAATTCCCGAATATCCCGCACATCGGACATATGGCTAGAGTGTTTTGTATACCAGACAGTGACCTGCTATATTATATATATATATTATATTTATATATATATGAATATTTTTACGATTATAGTATACTTTATGAATTATATATGTGTAAATATATATATTATATAGCGACTATGAGTAGAACTACTACGATTATATATATAGGTTATAACTTAATTTAGTTAATCATATTATGACCATGTCTAACTCGAGTTCCTTATTCAATGGCCGAGGTTGGTATACTTCACCCACGTCGGCGATTTGCTTCAAGAACTTAAACTTGTATGACCTACTATATGCAGCTATATATACTGTTGGTAGAATATGCTTGCTATTATATGTGCAATTAGTGTGGTGTGATTCTTACACGCCCTCTTTCAGTTCAGGCAATCTGCAGTCAGCAAAACTGTGAGATCGCGAACAAGGTATAGCTGCATTACCCCGCCTTCTCTTTTCTAACGCTCTCGTTTCATATTCCTATTCTTTCTCTCAATCATCTCTCGTTCTCTTCTCTTCCATTCTCTCTCTCATCTCTATCTCTCTCTCTCTCTCCCTTTTCCTTTCTCGCTCTCCCTCGCTCTCACTGTAACATGGCCGGAATGTGACAGTTCTTAACACAGCTAGTGCCTACAGCAAGATTAAAACTAAGACCTGCCAAATATATTGTGCAAATACGTATACTGTCGGCCAATGCCATCGGCTGACTAGCTTATAAAGCACGAGGGGCTGGCTCTTTACAACTTTGTGAGCAGTGCAAACAATCACTACGATATGGAAGACTCCGCGTAATGTGCGTAGTTTGCCGTGCACTCGGAGGTCTGACTAACCCGACTAACTCAACTATGACGGGGGCGAGGTCTGCCTAACTCGACGAGCGTGGGAAAGAGAATAGATAGTCTGACTAACTCATCTATAGTAGGAAAGATATTTTACTGCATGGCAATTTATTGGCCATTATTATGGCTGTATGGCATATTTACTATATGGCGGGGGTGAGGCCTGAAAACGCATTCATACTGGGGGTGGCCTAACTACTTACTCGTGGTGGGAGAAAAGTCTCGCTCACTCAGCCATGGTGGGGTACGAACGAGATCTAGCTGACTGTAGTATATGTTTAGACCAGCAGCACTGGTAATGACATGATTACGTGCAGAGTTGTCGACGGGATATAACTCTTTCTCGCGCGTAGAGAGAAAACTCTTATAAAGCTGCTGTGGATGGATTGTGGAAGTCCGTGCAATCACAAGAAGATTGCACGGACGGCCATGAAAGAGTGGCGTGTTTCCCTCCAGCACTTATCCGTGAGTACGGGATTATAAGCGGGGAAGCATGTACGTTAGCAACAGTGTCAACAACATTATCAAAACAGAAACAATGACGCCAAGTTAGTTAGTTTAGGCGAAATGCACACATGCGCGGCAGCCTGTCAGCGTCAGCGCCTCGTATTTACCTTGCATTACGTTGACAACGACGAGGATTTAGTCGGGATTTCTATTAGGAAAAGATGAGCCGCCGGGCATGTTTTCTTCGTCCTTTCTAGGAAAATACGCCATTTTGTGAAAAATGCCCGTTGTTTGTCTAGGGACGCTACGGCATGCAAAGAATAACACGGATAGGTCGTCTGCCGTGCATGCCTGGATGAGCTGCGACGCGATGAAAAGCACGGGAAAGCCGCGGTGCCTACTTGTGCGTGCATGCGAGAAAATGTAGCTAGTGGGAGGGCCGGCGTAGCGGTGGCATAGTGGAATGACCGACGTATTTCTATCCCGCGGGGGTTATGGTTTCATGACGCCCATGCGTTATTTGCTGATTTAACTGCAGGATCGCCCGACAAGTGGGTTGTTTCAATAGAACTGTGGGAGGTTAGAAAAAAATATTAACTGACTTAATAAGACTTTTTTTTGCCAAATCAACCCTTAATCCGATTGGAGTGAATCAACGAGTGAGTAATTAAATGAATGAAAAAAAAGTGAGTGAGTGAGTGAGTGGGTGAGTGAGTGAGTGAGTGAGTGAGTGAGTGAGTGAGTGAGTGAGTGAGTGAGTGAGTGAATGAGTTTGTGAGCGAGCGAGCGAGCGAGCGGGCGGACGGA